ATTGTATTAAATATATAATCACATAACAGATGGAAAACGAAAACAATCTCTATTAACAGTGCAATATCAGTTTAAAGTCCCTCTGTGGTGAAAATCAAGTTTTTTATGTTGTTTATTTGTCTATGTGGTGTTTTTAATATGCTTTTAGACCAGGGGTGCCCAACCCTGCTCCTGGCGATCGACTGTCCTGCAAAGTTTAGCTCCAACTCTAATCAAAGACACCTGCCTTTAATTTTTAAGTGATCCTGAAGACCCTAATTAGTTGCTTCAGGTGTGTTTGATTAGGGTTGGAGCTGAACTTTGCAGGAACGAGATCCACTTTCCTGCACAGTTTAGCTCCAACCCTAATCAAACACACCTGAACATACTAATCAGTGTCTTCAGGATCATTAGAAAATCACAGGTAGGTGAGTTTGATCAGGGTTGGAGCTAAACTGTGCAGCGCATTGGCCCTCCAGGGCAAGATTTGAGGAACCCTGGTCTAGTGAGAAGGCAGCCAGGTTAATCTGGTAGCTTTATATTTTTTCTGTAGATGTTTCACTAACTGTTATATATTTCCCCCTATTTTCACGATGTCATGTGCTGTTAGCGCTTATTTATCTGTATTTAGAACCACTAACTTGAAGAATAACCCGCGGCAGCAGTGTAAAAGTAGCCCGGAGTCAGACGCACCTCTCCCGCATTGACATCCGCACGTCACACGCGTATGATCGCGGGCGCGATTTGGAATCACAAACTTGGCTGCATTTGAGTCTTCAACACAACATCGTCAAGTAAGTAGATTTAACCAATGTTACAGTATCCACTGTAGTTGTCCGCTAGTAAAAACAGTTTTATCAGTCGTTTATCCGTGTACGAACCAGCGCAAACAGATAATGTTTACCTCACGAAGTTAGCCATCAGTCTCCTTGCTTAGGTTGAGCATACCAGCTTATTTCTGGTTCAAACACATATGGCTTAATTAAACCAATATTTCCACTTGCCATTGCCGTTGTATCGCGTTTACTACAGTTCAGGAGGCGCTGGCTCATGGCTGGCTGCTGTGTGACTGAGTGGAGGCGGGGCTAATTTGCGTATTCATAGATCCGAGTATAGTAAATTACCGCGTATAGTAAATGAGGCCAGGGTGTAGAGTTGCATTCAAGCTATTTTAAGGCATGAGAAAATTATTTCACAAGAAAAAACATTTAAATATGTCATTTTGATGATCAAAGATGAGTTTTAAAGGATAAAATGTTTGACTACAGGGGGACTTTAAATGCACTGATGACCACTGTAAACATATACTGTACCGACCTTTACAATTTAAAAAAAATACCCAACTAAATATTAAAACAGTCAGTTAACATGATAAAATACAACTCAAGTGAGTAACTCCTGTAGTGTCAGATGACAAAACGCATCATGTAAACATTAGAGCCTAAACATTATACGGCCAGATCATTTTTGACAGATTTAGAGTTAAAGGGGTCATGCTGCTAAAAAGAACATTATTTTGTGTATTTGGTGTAATGAAATGTGTTTATGCAGTTTAAGGTTCAAAAAACTGTTATTTTCCACATACTGTACATTATTGTTTCTCCTCTCTGCCCCGCCTTTCTGAAACGCGTCGATTTTTACAAAGCTCATCGGTCTGAAAACGGATATGTCAAAGACAAGTAAGTAAAACAATGCACAAGTTACTTAACGGTAGGGAGAGAGCGAGAGAGAGCACGCGCGCACTTCTGTTGTGTGATCTTTGATGTTCACTCACTGAGCGCACGCATCATTTGAATTAAAACGAAATCGTACAAATAAAACCATTCATAGGGGCATTCACTATAATCATCATTTATTTTCAACCTTAGGCATACACGACTTTCTAGCGAAAGTGAATCTAGCAGCCTGTGTGAAATGCGCTAGACTGTACTATTCTGCATCAGTACAAACACGTGCAGGCGTTGCGTGTGTTTTGCTTGCTTGAGTGTTTCTGCATTATATGAGTGGCTTTGGAATATAAATCGCAGCACGTTTCAGATGAAAAAACGCGACTTCTATTTCTGAAAATATCACAGTTAGGAGATTTATAACGAGTGGTTCCCTGCATTATTACAGCAAAGCGCGTGATTACAGTACTAAGCCGCTGCTCTAATGCTATTAAATTAAAGATGATGTACCATAGAGCAAAAAAATGAACAGTAAAAGTAACAAAAACTTGTAAAATACATTTTAATGGGCATAATTAAGTGTGAAAATAACCGAAGGATATACAGTGAAACCAAAAATGATTCAGAGACCAGATATAATTTTTGATATTTTTTTACTAGTGGGTGCAGGACACTATAGTTCATTTATGTAAGTGAGGATAGCAAAATAAAGTAAACTGTGACAAATCATACCCAAAAATTCTTCATACAGTGGACTACCAGTAAAATTGATACAAATTTGGGTCCAAAAATTATTCAGACCGAGTCTGGGAAAAAAACTGAAGTTGAGGTTTTCATGAACCTGGGTGACAGCATGCCCAGGAGACTACAGGCTGTCATTGAGGCTAAGGGTTGCCCGACTAAGTATTGATAGTTGTGTAAATACTGTCATACTAACAGCTGTCTAATTTTTGGTTGATTGTAATCTATTACATACCTTTCTATCAAAGTTATATAACATTATCAAGCTGAATTTTTTCTGACACAGTTTAACTCTGAGTTCTTGTCATGTTTTATTACCATTTTCTAAACTATAGCGAATAAACTGTGATAATGTGAGAAATGTTGAAGGCGTCTGAATAAATTTTGGTTTGACTGTATCTATTTGATAAATGAAGTTAACCAACTAACATTATACATACCCTTTTGGTTTCTGTACCCAATATTTAAAAAATTTACAAATGTAATAAAAATATAGGTATCGGCATCGGTATCGGCAAGTACCAAAAATAAAAGTATCGGTATCGGGCGAGTACTGGAAAAAGTGGTATCGGTGCATCCCTACACCATAGTGTAACTGAATAGTGCCAAAATAAGTGCAAGTGCAGTTTCCTCATATTCATTGCAGAAAATACAATTTACATTTCATCTTTTTTTAACTTTTGTAAATAATGATTTGCTGGATAAAATCTGTGAATGAGCTTATAAAAAACTTCTTTAATCTTATTTCTAAGATGATATTTGCGGTAACAACCACACTTTTCTCCAGAAAATCAATTTTCCATTTAATAAACAGTTCCAATGAGACAAAACACAAGGTACAGAAACAATTTTTCTTTGGAAAAGAGTACGAATAGCTCTATTATTACTCTTGGGATTTCATGAAAAACAAATTTAACCAACGTAAGATTTAGTAACATCAAGAGACACTGAATTGGGAAAATGGTCTTTATCAATACCTAACATGTGAGTACCTGAAGGGATTGAACCAATAACAATTGAGAACTCTCTTTGAGGAATTGGTATTTTACAATAAGAAAGGAATTCATCATAAGAAAAGAGTGTTCCTTCTTTGTTGTATAACTGACTAACCAATTTAATAATGTTTTTAAAAAAAATATATATATATTTGTATAGAATGTTTCTATTATTTTATATGAAATAGAGATGCAGAGAAAAAGTATGCTTATATATTAATGACCAAGATAGGAGCATTTGTTTATTTTTGTTAACTGCTTGAAAATGTGCATTTTCAGCATGGGTGTGTGTAATTTGCATTGTAGAGCAAAAGTATTGTCAAGTTATGTTTATCGCAGACCTTATTTTATTCATTATTTGTAAAACCCCATTATAAAAACCCATTGGAAAACCTTGAGGGAACCAGCTGAGAATTAGTCTTTATTAGTCAGGTTTTGACATCACAACTAAAAAAAAAAACACTCTATTCTTAGGGAAAGCAAGAACTGAAACCTATTATAAATCTATTATTATATCACTTACATTTTATTGTACTGTTGTACTCACTATTTTATTATCACTTTAGTACAATTTGTACTACATATACTTTTTAAATATCACATATCACTTTTACTATATTTTCACTCTATTACACTGCACTGTATCAGTGCATAATGTTTTACCACTGTAACTCTTACTGGATCCATAAAGGATTATCAGTTACATTTCTTATTGTTTGGTGTGGAGTTTATTATCTGTATCCTGCTATGAAAAAAATAGAAAGCAGACTTCCAGTGTGACAATTTTTGATTTGTATTTGCTGATTTTATTCCATTTTATCAATGATGGTCAATTATTAGTACTTAAAGATGTATTATTTCGATTTGTTTCCAGTATTTAAATGGGAATGAGCTGTGTTCTGTTCTGTTCTGATCTGAAGCACAAGAAAATCTAAAATGTTGGGGTTGGAGACAGAGAAAGCAATTTCCACGAAGAAAAAACTTCATTTCATTTAATGTACATTAGATTATATTACATGTATATATCACAGTTATACTACATTAATATTAGAATTGTTACCAGAAAAAAATAGCCAAATCAACAAGTGAGACAAGTGTAAGCTTTCACAATTTCTAACGAAAATTAATAATTTTCCAAACCTAACTAAATAACTGGAGACAGAGTTATTTTTAATTCCATGTAGATCACAAACCACTGAAATCGGCTGATAAATGTAAACGTTATTGTGTTTTTATCCAGAAAACAAAAAACACAGCTCCTCCGTTTACCTCCATTTGTTTTTAAGGCAGTCTTGCCCGGACCAACATGGCGGACGCGTCGCTAGTGGAGGTGACGTATTTCCGCTCTTGAGTGTAGCTCCACTCGCCCAGTATGTCTGCAGCCAGACACTGTTGAAAACTGTTGCCGCGGGTTGAAGCGACTCCAATAACATAATATTTATCCCCTGGAATGCGAATTTTAGCAGGGGAACCCGCCCAAAAAACGTGTATTTTACCCCCCGGAACGCGATTTTTGACTGGGGACCCCCCTTGAAACACGATTGGGCTAGTTTTCGTGTGAACATCTGGCAACCCTGCACACCAGTCTCTCTCAGTGAAACCGAAAGTAGCCGTAACAGACCACTAGACGCCATTTTAGAAGATTCAAGATCAAAAATGTCTTCGCAGGTTACGGTAAGTTTAAAACGTTTCAAGCTGTAACCGTTAATGTCAATACGGAGCATTTCCGTCTAAACATTACTCTTACGAACTCAAACACTTCACAGTTTGATCAAACACGAGCTGATAGTTACTTACGTGCTACTTCACGGAAACTTAACACATCATACGACGCTTGAACTAATCGTTTTTTAAAGCATAGTTTGTTATTTTATGTTATTGTTGGTCTTATTTGATACAGTGTGTGGATAATATGTGAATATTTTGTTAATCCGTAAAATAAATATTTAGGTAAATTATAGGCCTACGTAGTAAACAGTAACGTTAGCCCTAACACTCTATTCTTAGGGAAAGCAAGAACTGAAACCTATTATAAATCTATTATTATATCACTTACATTTTATTGTACTGTTGTACTCACTATTTTATTATCACTTTAGTACAATTTGTACTACATATACTTTTTAAATATCACATATCACTTTTACTATATTTTCACTCTATTACACTGCACTGTATCAGTGCATAATGTTTTACCACTGTAACTCTTACTGGATCCATAAAGGATTATCAGTTACATTTCTTATTGTTTGGTGTGGAGTTTTATATCTGTATCCTGCTATGAAAAAAATAGAAAGCAGACTTCATGATGGTCAACTTAAAGGTGTATTATTTCGATTTGTTTCCAGTATTTAAATGGGAATGAGCTGTGTTCTCTGTGTTCTG